GCAATTTTTTCACCTTGTTCCTTTTTTAGAATACTTCTAATGGTGCTATAATTCTTGGGTTCCATAGTAGATCTGATGTAAATGAGTTTCATATTAACTATTTTGTATAGGGATAGTTCTATATATCACTTAAAATAATGAATGGGATATTATAAAACTGTTAATTATGATCACATTACAAATGACTAAATTTTGATCCCTGAATTTTTGGCAATACCAATGTTCACTTTGTCTGGTTTTGTTGCAGTATGCCCCATATTATGTATTTTTTAATATTATAAAAAATTGTGCTCTAAGTGATATTTCTAATGAACTGGGATGTCAGAAACCAAAACCAAATGAGGCATTACAGTTATTATTGAATTACACTCTCAATTAAATGGTAAAAAATTTTTTTTTTTCCTTGTATGAATGTACATGAAGAAGGTATATTTCTTTGTGACCAAAAGGATAATCTTTATTATGTTTACAACATACAAAGTGGTGATAAATTCTACAATTTTTTTTCTTGTATTTCATTTTTAAAAGATGTCAAAGGCTTTAAGGGGAAACCATTCTCCATTGACTATTATTTTCTTAAAACCAATCCATTTTTCTGCTAATATAAGTAGTATTCATCAGGAAATTAATTTAGCATAAACTTGCATAAATCTTATGATGCTGATGTAATATTGCATAAATCTTACAGTGCCAACGTAAGTTTTACACTTTTTTATTATTAAACTTGCGATTGACATGTGCAAATTTTTTTTATATTTTCTGGATGTTCTTAGAGAAAAGGAACAAAAAGTATTTTAAATGAAAAGAAATTCTCTGTGAAAGAATTTCAAACTCGAATACAACAAAGAGTTCATGAAAAGTCATTATACGCATCAGTTGTTAGCAAAGAAATTTTTGTGGGTGTTGAATGGAAATTGAATATGACAATACAATCAAATGAAAACTAATTATTGAATGGAAAGATACAATACTTATACACAAAATAGTAATAGGTAAAGATTTTGGTATGGATAAATTGACACTTCAAACAATTGAAGAAATTAAATGGTTACTAAACAAAGCAAGAACTAGAGGTTGGAATCGTCCAAAAAATCCTTAGTTGACTACTAGTTGGTCAAAATTTCTTTTAGTCGACTAAATTTTTTTAATACTAGCGTGTAACCATTTGCTTCGCAAAA